AGCTGCAATGATCATCACAGAGCAGAGCCCTAAGAGGTATACCTGTAACACAAAAGCAATTTTAATAAAATTAATTAAAATGTATTTATTTTTGAGGTTACTTGAAGTAAGAGGACGTTATTATGAGCTGTTGACTCATTGTATACCACCTGATATTATTTTTAAAGTAACTAAGAGAGAGAGAGGGGGAGGGAGAGTGATAAAAGAGGAAATGAGAGACTCATAGTCAATTTCTTCCTTCTACTGAAAGAAAGGGAGAGTAATAGGAAATTACACATGTACATGTATTTAAAATTAATTATTGTAATATTTTTTCTAATATTTTCCTTCTACAGAGGATATTGAATGAGCTGGTTGCTAACTGTGATGGTACATTGAAAGCTGAAGTGACTGAATTAGCAGCTCAGTATCAAGCTCAGTCACAACTGGGTAGTAAAGCAATCTTTCATCTTGAGGCCTTCACAGCAAAATTTATGAGAATATATAAACAATTTTTAGAGGAAGGACTGGAGAGTATGGGCTTCTGATGCAATAGATAAAATACATATACTTCTAAACACACAAATGCACATCAGTAATTCATAGTGATAATTGTCATCATAGACCATTATAGTGGGTCACTGTGGCTGTAATACTCTACATGGCAATATGCTATGAATACATGATGAACACACTATAGACTATGAATACACCATGAACAGTTTGAACACACTATATACACTATGAATACACTTAAGAAAAAAAGCAGCGGTTGCCGGCGTGGCTTCGTGCAACTTAATGTATAATAAGCTATGAATCTGTACTCTTGGGTATATCTAGTGTGGACCCATCCTTAACTCACAGGGCCGTAGGAACTGCTACGGTCGCCACGGCCATGGCCGTACCGTTTTTTGGAGTAAATTATTAATTAATTAAAATCAGACACGCCCTATCAGGCTCAGCATGGCTTGTAGTAGCAGCAGCAGCAGCAGCTCTTCATCTTCGAGTTTTACTTTACCTGACCTTCCTGTAGACAGTCCTAATCAGCCAGATAGATTTGATTTCCCACAGCGCCCTTTTGGTAAAACAAAAGTGGTGCACCGTTCTTTCCAAGCTTCTTGGTTCAAAAGATTCAACTGGTTGCATTACAACACTGCTGATGATCTAGCCTATTGTTTTACTTGTGTTCAGGCTGTGAAAACAGGAAAGTTAAAACTTTCTGGTCATGTTAAGGAATCAGCATTCATTTATGGAGGTTTTAGTAATTGGAAGGATGGGACTAGAGGTTTTACCAATCATGAAAATTCAGGAACTCATAAATCAGCTGTTGAAGTAGTGATTGCTATACCACAGTCAACTGGTGATGTGGGGGAAATGTTATTTTCAAGCCTTATGGTAGAGAGGCAAATGAATCGAAAATGTCTGCTAAAAATTGCTGAAAACATTAAATTCTTAGCCAGGCAAGGCATTGCATTTCGTGGAGACGGGGATGAAAAAGACAGTAACTTTATGCAATTGGTATATCTGAGGGCAAATGATGACTCCAATTTCCTTCATCATCTTCAGCGAAAAAGTGACCGATATACAAGTCCGCAAATCCAAAATGAACTCCTTAAATTGATGGCTGTAAATGTATTGAGGGATATAGCGAAATTTGTACAAAAATATAAATATTTCTCACTAATGGCTGATGAAGTCACAGACATTTCAAACAAAGAACAGGTCTTGGTTTGTCTCAGATCAGTTGACGATGACCTTATTCCTCATGAAAACTTCATTGGTATCCACTCTGTTGATTCCATTAAGTCTGATATTCTTGTAGCTGTTCTTCAAGATACTTTGCTTCGAATGAATTTGCCCATCCAGTACTGTCGCGGTCAGTGCTATGACGGTGCTGCAAATATGGCTGGCATTAAAAATGGTGTTGCAGCACAAATTGCTGAGGAGGAATCTCGTTCAATTTTTATCCATTGCTATGGCCATGCCTTAAATCTGGCAGCTGGGGATTGCATTAAAAATAACAGAATTCTTTGTGATGCTCTTGATGTGACATTTGAAATGTCTAAGCTCATCAAGTGCTCACCATGTCGAGGAGCTATTTATGAGAAGTTGAAGGGAGAAATGGCCCCTGATGTACCTGGCTTCAGAACACTCTGCCCAACTCGCTGGACAGTGAGAGCATCTTCCTTAGAAAGTGTCATTTGTAACTACACAGTTCTTCAAGCATTATGGGAAGAAGCAAGAGATGTTGTTTCAGATTGTGATACTCGTGCTCGCTTGATTGGAGTAGACAGTATGATGTCATCATTTGACTATTTCTTTGGAATAGTACTTGGTGAGAGGATACTCAAGCATACCGATAACCTCAGCAAGACATTGCAAAATCCATTATTGTCAGCATCGGAAGGACAGGAGCTTGTTGTTTTGACTTGTGACACTCTTGCTCTGTTAAGAACAATAGCATCATTTGATCTTTTTTGGGATCATTTGTTACTACTCCAGACAGAAAAGGGTGTTAGTGATCCATGCCTTCCACGAAAGAGAAGAATGCCAGCTAGATATCAAGCAGGATCAAGTAGTGCAGGATACCATCCAGAATCTCCAAAAGATTCTTACAGACAGCAATACTTTGAATGTCTTGATATGATTGTGAATTGCATTCAAGACCGGTTCAATCAACCAGGTTACAAAGTACTCAAAAACCTGGAAAATGTGATAATCAAAACAGCAAGAGGACAAGACTGTAAATCAGAGTTAGACTTCGTAGTTAACTTTTACAAAGATGACATAAATTCATCATTGTTGAGGCAACAGCTTGATCTGCTAACAACAAAGTTCTCAACAGCTGAAGAATCACCAGGTTTGCAGTGTGTTGTTGACTATTTGAAGAGTTTATCATTACCTCAAAGAGATCTTATATCTGAAGTAGTCATTCTAGTCAAGTTGATATTAGTAATTCCTGCAACTAATGCTGTCAGTGAACCTAGTGCATCGGCTGTTCGTAGGCTAAAGACATATTTGAGATCTACTATGACGCAAACTCGTCTAAATAACCTTCTTGTCCTGCATGTACATAAGCAACGAACAGATGACTTAAACCTGACAGCATGTTTAAGTGACTTTGTATCTGAAAATGAACACAGGCATGCATTATTTGGCACGTTTTGAACTGGAGCATTTTCTCTCAGTAGTTTCACTTTATTAATATCAATAATAATAATAAATAACAATAAAATAGCGATAGTTAATTGACCACGCTCCTCATGAATAATTAATTAGGTCGGCAACCTTCTCATACTACTGTCCTCCTTCCTACGGCCCTGTTAAGCTTGAGTTACGATACAAGTTGTGTTGTTATTTATGATGTGGCAGTGGCTTAGAGAAGTAAGAGCTATCAACTTGATAGCCGCAGCTTTTCCTTGTCGTCGTAGACCTGTTCAAGAGACAGCTATAGGAGCAGTTCGAGCCGCAGCCATCACTGCTGGTGATAGAATTTGGTATAAGAGTGATGAAAATGATCATTGCTTTTTAGTGGAACTTGTGCAAGAAGTGGAAACAAGTTCCTTTTACAGAAAAGAAGAAATGGTTAGTGAAATTAATTGTACAGCACTCACTGACTGGCTGTTGTATTCTTAGGTTGTGGCGAGTTATTGCAAGGTACCCAAAAACTGTGTTGTGTGACTGTGACTCAATGCCACTTATACCATGTATTCTACTTGCACTTATTTGTATATGAATTTTATTCTCCATACTGTATACGTTTTTCTGTATTGGACTATAACGGTTTATTGTATAATTTGTTTGTCATTGATTTTGTTTACTGGTCAACAATGTAGAGTAATCTCTCCGTTATCGGACACTCCCACTAATCGGACACTGTAACTTTTTCTGAAGAAGTTGCCACTGAATTCTTCTGTTATCATAAGATAGATAACAGAGATAAGGTACATAAAAGTACAAAAAACATCAGCAATTATTTTTTGTTATCAGAGAAAATCATCTCGATGTAAAAATATCGGACGGCCCCAATTCTGGACAATAATTTTCTTCGCCGTACATGGGCTCTCAGCAGACGACAGAAACTATTCTGAATAGTTTGATACCACCAA